TAGGACCCGGCTCTCCTTTCGGGCTCCGAGCTGGAGGTCGGAGGCTGGTGTGGAGCCGCACGGAGCGTGGGAGCTCAACCCTGGACTCCATCTTTTAAACAAATACAGAGGCTGGGAGCGGCGGGAGAGCTGGCTGAAATACTGGCGTACGATCAGCATCTCGCCATGTTTCTCGTGCAGTGCGCAGGTAGAGTGTGTGTTGTGTGCGCCTTTCCCGAGAGCGCGTCTCTCCGGTAACGCCTCGCTGGTGGGGGTAGCGTGTGGGCTTCGCTGGAGGTGGCAGCGGTGACTACCCAAAGCCTGCGGTCTCGTCAGCGTGCCTGGCCACGTCTGGGTCGGACCGCTGGTTGTGAACCGCGCCGCTGAAGCCAGGAGGGCAGGAGAAAAGAGTGCACAGGCCCAGGGGCAGTTTTTGAACCTGGGAACTGGTCTCGGAGAGCAAATGGTTGGTATCGAAACGTGGCTTCAAAGCCTTGCTGTCTGCTCTCCTTTCCCTTCCTTGCTGCTTTCCCTGATGGATTGCTGCAGGCGCTGTGCACCGTGGCTGCTTCCGAAGGGTGTTTCTTTGGGGCTGAAACCAGCTGGCTGGTAGCGGATGGCAGATTGCATCCCAAAATCCAGTTTATTTCTGAGTTGCGTTTCTGAACATGCAGAAGAGAAAAGGCACCCCTCTTCAGGCTGAGCAATACTTATTGCGTATATTTGCCAATGTTGGCAAAAGGTAAATCCATATTTATAGTAAAGCCTGCGTCAGCCCATTTCTGAAGTTCCTCATGGTGCTGGGTAAGAGAGAAGTTTGATGAGTGCACATGATCTACTTGGGCTTTTAAAGTGTATCATTAAAATGCTTTTAGGTGTGTGGAAGTGCCAGAGTACCCATTACTAGTTTTATTTTCTTTGAGTTACTGGGGAGAGATTCGTGTACCTGCTTTTTATTAAGTCGTTGGGTGTCACGAAAGCCCTCCGAGCCCCCTCCCAGCAGCAGTGCGAGGTCGCTGTCTATTTCCTTTGTAGATGCCAGATTTCCTCTTTTTCTATCACAAGCAGCCACTCTCAGCACCTGTCTTGCTCCTCTCACAGGCCCAAATTTCTTCCACTTCAGCTTGGAGTCAGGCTACCCAGAACAGACAATAATAAGTCACATCGAAGTGGTAACAATTTCTAATCAGTGCAATGTTGCTTTTTTAAAAATTCAAGACAAATGAAACACTCGATACACAAAGTTACAGAATTCATCAGCATCCTGCAACCAACGTTCTCCCACAGGAATAGACTGGCGGTTTGTGCAGGAGCGGTGTCACACGGTCAGCTCACGGGAGCAGGAGCGGTCTGTAGGACACTGCTGAGCGGTGCCCCTCGCTGACTCTCCGCTTGCTTTTTTCTTGCTGGGCCAAGCCCTGCTAGCAGGAATTGGTGGCTGGAAAATGAAGTCCTGTCCAGGGTCTGCTGTGGGACCCGGTGAGGGTAGACACTGCCCTTGATTTATGCCTGGAACATTGAGATCTTTTCCTATCTCCATCCAGGCCCTTTCTAAACGTGTGCTGAGAAAGCTGCGGCCGTGTATAGCATCAGCCCGGCCCGAATCGATGCGTGCCCCGGGGGACGGGCAGGGCTGTGCGTTGTTCGTGCTGTGTACTCCAGAACAGAATCCCAGCATGGTGGGGGTTGGCAGGGCCCTCTGTGGGTCACCCAGCCCAACCCCCTGCCCAAGCAGGGTCACCCAGAGCAGGCTGCACAGGACCACGTCCAGGCGGGGCTGGAATATCTCCAGAGAAGGAGACTCCACAGCCTCCCTGGGCAGCCTGGGCCAAGTCCCCTCCTCATCCTCGTAGCCCTCTGCTGAACTCTCTCCAGTAGCTCCTTCTTTTTCTTGAAGTGGGGAGCCCAGAACTGGCCACAGGAAGCTGCGCGTCTTCCCGGAGACACAGCCCAGCATCTGCTTCCAGAGGTGAAGACCACCGACAGCAACCTGCCACGTGAGGGCTTGCTGAGGATCGTTTCCTGCTCGGCTTTGAGCACCTTCACTCTTTTACCCTGACTCATTTTTCTAGTGAGGAATCTTGGAGTCTAAGTTGTTTTTTAAAAAATTTTTAGTCACTGTGTTATGGTGGCTCCTGGTATCCTGCTCCTAAGAACTCACTCTTCTGACAATCCCTGGAGGTACGTACTGGCTGTGCTTGGAGGTGGAGGGCAGGCTAGCGCCCGTGCCACATATGGCTCTCGAGAAATGCTGCTACCGGCCTGACACTCACTGAAAAACCTGATTTTTCTCCTCCTCTTCCCTTAGTTTCTGCGTAGAACTGCACTGCAAGTGCAGAAATGTGCTGATTTGTGCTGTTCATGGTGGGCTCTCCGCAGCGCTGCGGTGAAGCTGAGCGAGACCCCGAGGCCTGCTCCTGTGCTGGTGGTCCCTCCCCTCCCGAGCAGACCCCCTCAGAAGAGCCCAGGATGCTGTGTCAAGGTTGGCGTGAAGGAGGAGTGCTTGTGCCCGTGCCTCACGGTCGTCCTGGCTGATTCTGCCAGCTTTTATCCTGCTCTGTGCCCAGGAGAGAAGCTTTTCTGCAGCTTCAGCTTTCCTCCGCGTGTGTTCGCGGTGTCCGGTGGGATGTGGTTGGAGCTGAAGCTGAACGGCAGTCGGCTGGAACGGCGGAAGGGAGGCGATCTGTTCTGAAGGCGGCTGCTGCCCGTGGCGTTTGCCAGTTGTAGGGTGGCAAATCTCACATAACGAGGAGCTTCTTCCGGTGAAGTGTGTTGGAGATCTTCTCTCTGGCTTGGTTTCGTTCTTGGAGCAAGCTCCATGGCGCAAGAGAGCAGCAGGGAAGGTGCCCCCTGCGTGCACTGCTTCTGCTGCCTGCTCCTCAGTACTGCCCTTCCCTTTCGAGGGTCACTTGCTCTTTCTTCTCCTTGGGGGACAGAGAGAGCAAAGCTTTCCCGAGGTGTTTGGATTCTCTGTGGTGAGTGTGCCGTAAGGTACCCGTGAACGGTAGCTCGTCCCACCTTGGGGGGCCCAGGAGACCACAGCCTGGAGCGAAACGGAGCGCAGTGCTGTGGAACTGGGTCTCGGGCTCCTGGCAGTCCTTGCTGGAGGAGCTGCCAGGGTCTCTCGTGTGGGTGGGACTAAGAAAATCTGGATCCTCTCTAGCGCTGTTTCTAGACAACACTACCCAGAAAATACTTTCTTTTTTTTTTTTTTTTTTAAGTGCCTGGACTATCACTGTATTGGTGTGATGCTTGATACATTTCTGTGTCATCTCAGCTGCACCTCATATCTACCAATGTTACTTCAGGCCTATGACTCAATTTGTTCAAAGTTCAAATATTCCAGCCTGCGCCTGCAAGAAAAATATGTTGCAGTTCAAAGTCTCATCAACTTCCATTTTCTGTAACTTCTGAATATTTCTGACTTGTGGCGTTCTAGTCTGAGGCTGTGTAAGGACAATAGCGGGCTTCTCTTCCAGAGCGCTGGTAGCCTGTGCGCTGCATGCCGTAATGAGGTTGTAAATGCAGAGGGTTCGCTTTCAAACCAAGAAAGCCCTGTTTCTGCCTTTCAGAGAGGTTTAGGCACTGTGGAGGAGCGTATCAAATGAGAAGAGGAGCTCCAAACCAGCTCTTGTGTTGAGAAATAATTGGCTCGTAAGAGAAAAGCTGTAAATTGGAATGAAGTTTTGCAGTAGGGCTGCCAGCTTTCCTCCTTTCCTCACGCAGTTTGGTAGTGTTTTTGGACAGAAGGCTTGATTTGAAGCAGTCGCGTTTTAGCTCTTTAAATCTGACCTCCTAATGTAGGGAATCGCGGGAAGGAATCCTTGCTGCCTCCGCACTGGCGAAGTCCGTTGTTGGCCTGTGAGGTGTGGGCTGGGAAAAAGGCTCTAGGAAAGTTCATAGCTTATGCTGGAGATCTGAGAGCAACAGAATAGATTTTTGTTTCATTCATACTCTCGTCCTTTCACGGTATGGGTGTGGCTGTTTTGGGGTTGCTCAGTAAGACACAACTCTTGCTACGTGGCTGGAGGTTGAAGCCAAACCCTCCGGTGGGAACAAACCGAGGGTTTTAACTCTGGCCTCTGCGCGGGTCTTGGCGTCGTCTCTCAAAATGGATGACCCGAGCCGTGGCTTGGTGGGACGGTGACCCTGGATCCGGATTCCTGGTGCTGGTGCATTAATCATGCTCGGTGCGTGGTCACCTTGGAGCGTTAATCTGACACCGTGAATTTGTACCAGCACAAAAAATGTTGCTGCATTCACGCCTGGGGATCATGTGTTGCATCTGCTAGAGAGCAGCTCTGATTACGTTTAATGGAGAGCCCAGAGATAATGAAGGTTTTGGAAGTGGGATATCCATGAGGTGGCTGGAGCAGGTCCACTGTCCTTCTCCGGGCAGTGTCTCTGGTTGTCCTTATGATGCTTTTGTTGGGGTTTGCCCGTGTCTCGTGCAGGCATGTTGGTAGGTAGAAAGGCATTTGTTGAAGTAATGCTGAGCTGAACGCATCCCCATCCTTCAGGTAGTTGTTGATCTCGCACTGGATTGTCCCTGTTTGGCATTCTTTATATTTGCTGCCTATTAAGTAGCAAATTAAAAGTCATCTTCGTAAGCTGTCATCTGGAAGAGCAGCCAGCCACGTAACTGCAGAGCTCCGGGTCTTTGTTTTCCTCCAAAATTAGAGAACTTGGAAGCGTCGGCCCAACTTGCAGGGTTCATCCTGGTGTCATCTTGCAGTGTTCAGGAGAGCATGACCCTGACCGAACACACGTTGTGTCCGGACACCACAGCTGCTCAGTGGTGACCCCCAAAAATCTGATAGGAAAATACTTTCCTCAGTTCACTTTGTTTAAAAACAGCAACAACCCACCCTCCCCCAGCTTCTCTGAGGAGCGTAAGGAGGAAGAGTGACGGTGAAACCTGGGGCTGTAGCGTGGGGAGGAAGCGTTGGCACGTGCATGGTGTAATTTAGTGTGTGACAGGGGACACGCTTTTTGTCGAGGCCCTCAGAGCTGTGAGACTGCTGAGAACAGCCCTCTCCTCGCAGACCTTGGTACCCCCTTGCACGTGGGGAAAAGCCGCTGAAGGTGCGGGCTGAGACTGTGAGACGTGATGGTGGGAGCTGGAAGGGCCACCAGCGACAGTCCCAGTAAAAAAACAGGACATGAGGTTCATTACAGACTGCTGCCTATTGTTGGACAGTGTTTATTTTTATGGAGTAGAGGATTGGCTTTGGCACAGTTTAGAGTCCGTATGCTTGGATGTCCAAGCTGGAGGAGGAGCCCCTCTCCTAAAGATGGCATTCTCAGCTTAGGGCTGTGTTTGGGCAGCACCACGGAGTATGTCCAAAATGGTATCACCTTTTGAGGTAGTGTTAAGACGTGAGACTTCAAGTCTAGCTGCTCAAAAGGTGGTTATTGAGGCTCCCTCTGTGTTGTGTGAAGAGAGCGAGCTGCCTCGAAGGTGCGGAGGTTCCTCCTTCAGGTCCTTCTGAACATGGCCCAGCCATCTGGTGTGCAGGTCTGAAAGGTGCTTTGGCTTTGAGTCATCGTGGTGGGTTTGGTGCCTGGCTGCTGGGGCTCTCCTGGGACAGCCCTGCGAGAGGCCCCAGCAGGGTGTCCCTCCAGCACGTCTGTAATTTGGCTTCCCCCCTGCCTTTGTGCTCCTCGGGGCTCGTGGGTATGGGCTTTAACGGACTGACTGCGCTCCTGTGCGCGGCCTGGGAGTTGAGTCGGGTACTGCTCGGGTTCCCCCACCCATCGCTGTCTCTCTCTGCTCCTTTCTGCGTATGCAGATGAGCTTTAATCACATAACCTAGCAATTTTAACTCTGCAGAAGGCCTTTTCTTGCTGGCAAAGAAGGTTGGCTTTGAATTAAGTGACATCAGATTAAAACCGTGTGTGGCTGCTTTGGTTCGTGCAGGTCCAAACGAAGAGCTGGCTCGTACTTCACTGCAGCCTTTGCTGGTGTGACTTTTCCTTGGGAAGAGTCCCCTTGGTGGGTGGGCACCCAGCGACTCCTGGCCCGCTGCTCACCCGGGACATCGGCAGGTAACACGGGGTGAGCTAAAGGCTCTGTCTTCCTTTTTGGGTTGCAACTCGTACCCTCCTCATCCTCTTGCAAGTGACGAGCTTCATCCCTGTCCCATTTCAGACCATGCAGGACCCCCTTGGGAGAGTGGTTTCCAGGCTCTGCTGTGGCCTCGGGCCCGCGCAGCAGCCCCTGCGTGCTCGGTGTGGTGCTGGGAGCTGGTGCCAGCGCTGCACGCTCGCCCCATGCTGCAGAGCAGCGGTGAGACGGAGGGTGAGGATCAGCAGAGAGGGGAGAACCTGCGGGGCCGATCTGAGATTTCCTTCTACAGGCAGCTGCAAGCAGCCTCACAGTCACAGGCTCTGGTTCTCATGGGGGACTTCAACCACCCTGACATCAGCTGGGAAGACCATACAGCTAGGCAGGCGCAATCCAGGAGGTTCCTACAGAGCATCGATGATAACTTTCTGATGCAAGTGGTGGAGGAACCAACAAGGAAAGGCGCGCTGCTGGACCTCGTGTTAACAAACAAGGAGGGACTGGTGGAGGACGTGAAGGTTGGAGGTAGACTCGGCTGCAGTGACCATGAAATGGTCGAGTTCAGGATCCTGCGTGGAGGAAGCAGGGCGATAAGCAGGATCAAAACCCTGGACCTCAGGAGGGCTGACTTTGCCCTCTTCAAGGAGCTACTGGGAGGAATCCCGTGGGCCAGGGCTCTCAAAGGCAGGGGGGTCCATGAGTGCTGGTCGCTCTTTAAACAACACTTCTTCCATGCACAGGAGCAATGCATCCCCCTGAGAAAGAAATTTAGCAAAGGAGGAAGGAGACCTGCATGGTTAAACAAGGAGCTTCTAGCGGAGATCAGGCAGAAGAGAAAGGTGCATGGCATGTGGAAAGAGGGGCAGTCCACTTGGGAAGAGTACAGAAACGTAGTGAGAGCATGCAGGGATGCGACGAGGAAGGCCAAGGCTCACCTGGAATTGAAGCTGGCAAGGGATGTCAAAAACAACAAGAAGGGCTTCTTCAACTACATCAGCAGCAAAAGGAAGGCTAGGGACAACGTGGGGCCGCTGCTGAAGGAGGCGGGTGTCCTGGTGACGGAGGATGCGGAGAAGGCAGAGCTAATGAATGCCTTCTTTGCTTCAGTCTTCAGTGCTAAGACTGGCCCTCAGGAATCCCAGGCCCCGGAGGTAAGAGAGGAAGCCTACAGAGAGGACGACTTTCCCTTGGTCGAGGAGGACTGTGTGAGGGATCGCTTAAGCGATCTGGATGTCCACAAATCCATGGGCCCCGATGGAATGCACCCACGAGTGCTGAGGGAGCTGGCGGATGTCATTGCTGAGCCACTCTCCATCATCTTTGAGAGGTCCTGGAGGACAGGAGAGGTGCCCGAGGACTGGAGAAAGGCCAATGTCACTCCAATCTTCAAAAAGGGCAAGAAGGAGGACCCAGGGAACTACAGGCCGGTCAGCCTCACCTCCATCCCGGGAAAGGTGATGGAGCAGCTTATCCTGGAGGCCATCATGAAGCAAGTGGAAGAAAAGAAGGTTATCAGGAGTAGTCAGCATGGATTCACCAAAGGGAAATCATGCCTGACCAATCTGATAGCTTTCTACGATGACATGACTGGCTGGGTAGACGAAGGGAGAGCTGTGGATGTTATCTACCTTGACTTCAGCAAGGCTTTCGACACAGTCTCCCATGATATCCTCCTGGGGAAGCTGAGGAAGTGTGGGCTGGATGAGTGGTCGGTGAAGTGGATAGAGAACTGGCTGAATGGCAGAACTCAGAGGGTTGTCATCAGCGGCGCTGAGTCTAGTTGGAGGCTGGTGACAAGTGGTGTCCCTCAGGGGTCAGTACTGGGCCCAGTCTTGTTTAACTTCTTCATCAACGACCTGGATGAAGAGTTAGAATGTACCCTCAGCAAGTTTGCTGACGACACCAAACTGGGAGGTGTGGTAGATACACCAGAAGGCTGTGCTGCCATTCAGCGTGACCTGGATAGGCTGGAAAGCTGGGCAGAGAGGAACCTGATGAGGTTCAACAAGGGCAAGTGCAGGGTCCTGCACCTGGGGAGGAACAACCTCATGCACCAGTACAGGCTTGGGGTGGACCTGCTGGAGAGCAGAGAGGGACCTGGGTGTCCTGGTGGACGACAGGTTAACTATGAGCCAGCAGTGTGCCCTGGCTGCCAAGAAGGCCAATGGGATCCTGGGGTGCATCAAGAAGAGTGTGGCCAGCAGGACAAGGGAGGTTCTCCTTCCCCTCTACACTGCCCTGGTGAGGCCTCATCTGGAGTACTGTGTCCAGTTCTGGGCTCCCCAGTTCAAGAAGGATGAAGAGCTACTGGAGAGAGTCCAGCGGAGGGCTACAAGGATGGTGAGGGGACTGGAGCATCTCCACTACGAGGAGAGGTTGAGGGAACTGGGCTTGTTCAGCCTGAAGAAGAGAAGGCTGCGAGGGGACCTTATAAATGCCTACAAATATCTGAAGGGTGGGTGTCAGGAGGATGGGGCCAAGCTCTTTTCAGTGGTGCCCAGTGACAGGACAAGGGGCAATGGGCACAAACTGAGGCACAGGAAGTTCCGTCTGAACATGAGGAGGAACTTCTTCCCTCTGAGGGTGACGGAGCACTGGAACAGGCTGCCCAGGGAGGTTGTGGAGTCTCCTTCTCTGGAGATATTCAAGACCCGCCTGGACAAGGTCCTGTGCAGCCTGCTGTAGGTGACCCTGCTTCGGCAGGGGATTTGGACTAGGTGACCCACAGAGGTCCCTTCCAACCCCTACTATTCTGGGATTCTGTGATTCTGTGATTAGTCAATCATGCTAGCCTGCTCTGGGTGACCCTGCTTGGGCAGGAGGGTTGGACTAGATGACCCACAGAGGTCCCTTCCAATCCCTACTATTCTGTGATCTCTTCCTAATGATGTGTAGTGCCTGGCAGAGGCTGTGCTGCAGGCCTGGCCTGCTGCTGCTCACCCCCTGACCTCGAGAAGGACCCCGGGAGCTCCGGGACAGCGTCTGTCCGGCCACCAAGGCAGCGGTCGAGTGCCTGTGCCCCTGCAAGGGTGTTCACTTGCGGTGGCACCAGCCTCCCCTCACCTCTGGAAGCAAGCTGTCATGAACAGGTTGACCTTTTGGTGCAGGAGATAACGGGCGTGCTTGTGATTACTGAGCTGCGCTCCTGGGCTGTTCACGGGGCTTGGTGGGCTCTGGGGACATACCTTGCTTTCCTTTTTTAATTGCTCTTCAGGCAGCTGCCTTTGGGACAGCGTTTAGTGCCAGAACCTGAGGTGCTGGATGTTTTCAGATGGAAATAATATGAGGCAAGAAGAGAAACAAGTACTTATTAATTCCTGTTCAGTTCTCCATCACCGTGGTCGCTTCTCCTCCTTTTCTAGGTCTCCTCCTGTTTATCTGTGTGCTGAAGGCAGCAGAGGCATTGCCGGCTCGCAGCTGCTCCCTGACCAGTTGCCTGCTGGTCTGCAGCCATGGGGTGCTTCATTGGCAGCGGGTAGTCAGGGCATGGGACGTGATGCTGGAGACTGGAGAGCGTTTGTGGGTCTGTTTCTGCTCCTTCCTCCGTCCGTCAGGTTCGGGTTGGAGCCTTCTGTGAGCAGCTTACGTGTACTAATCCCGGCAGAACGCTCTCCACCTCCCAGGAGCTGCACTGATTTCTGGCCGGGGCGTGGGCAGAACTGGGTCGCAGGAGGTCTCTGGGGCTGGCAGGGTGTCGGGGGAGCTGGGCGGCTCGGAGCAGGGCTGGCTCCCTTCTGCCCGGCATGAGCTGCTCGGCTGGTTCTGGTGCTTTCTTAGGGTTTGGGGTGCTGCTGCGAGAACTTCCTTGGCTTCCTGTAGACCCCAGTCTTTCACCTGTAGCTAAGGAATGCTTTCTTTTCCAAAAAAGTGTGCCCTGGCTGCCAAGAAGGCCAATGGGATCCTGGGGTGCATCAAGAAGAGTGTGGCCAGCAGGACAAGGGAGGTTCTCCTTCCCCTCTACACTGCCCTGGTGAGGCCTCATCTGGAGTACTGTGTCCAGTTCTGGGCTCCCCAGGTCCAGAAGGATCAACAGCTACTTGAGAGAGTCCAGCGGAGGGCTACGAGGATGGTGAGGGGACTGGAGCATCTCCACTACGAGGAGAGGTTGAGGGAACTGGGCTTGTTCAGCCTGAAGAAGAGAAGGCTGCGAGGGGACCTTATAAATGCCTACAAATATCTGAAGGGTGGGTGTCAGGAGGATGAGGCCAAGCTCTTTTCAGTGGTGCCCAGCGACAGGACAAGGGGCAATGGGCACAAACTGAGGCACAGGAAGTTCCGTCTGAACATGAGGAGGAACTTCTTCCCTCTGAGGGTGACAGAGCACTGGAACAGGCTGCCCAGGGAGGTTGTGGAGTCTCCTTCTCTGGAGATATTCAAGACCCACCTGGAC